GGAGAGTGCCCGCGAAAAAGAATGCGGCGTGTGAGCATCGCTGCTGCAGTTTTGAAATGATACCAATTGTTGCAGACATACTCAAACCTAGTAAGCTGGCCTGTAAACACTCCCGCCGGCTGGTGTGCAAGGATGTTAGACGTAGCACAAGGATAACGAATAACAGGGAAATTCCATTCAGCTGCTTTGTCAAAGACAATCATACGCAAGGAACCGTCAGGGCGGACTTGGAGGCATGCACCCACGAATGTGCAAGAGCCATCAGGCGTTGTGGTCTCCTTCCATTTGAGGCCATAGTGCTCTCGCGGTGGTGGCAGATGTCCCCACGAGACAACATCATCGATCGAGTGGTATGTGAACGCATACCGTTGAGCTTTGCGAAGATCACACCGCTGGAGGTCATCAACAAAGCGAGCCTCATCCCAATACAACGTCAAATTAAACCGTTCTAGGAGGAGGAGGAAGACGACGACAGGGAGGAGGAGAAGGAAGATGATGGGGAGGAGGAGGAAGACGACAATCATGGGGAGGAGGCGGAAGACAACATGGGGAATAGGAGGAAGACGACGACGGCGGGGAGGAGGCGGAAGACGACGATGGGGAGGAGGATGAAGACGGCGATGACGGGGAGGAGGAGGAAGATGGTGCTATGGAGGAGGAGGAGGAGGGACAACGACGGGGGGTAGGAGGAGGAAGACGATGTTCGTGAAGTTCAAACTTCGACTTCCAAGTGAAAAAAATGAAATAAAAGTTGACGAGGTAAGGCAGGGTGGGGGAGATGGAGGAGGAAGATGTTGATGGGGAGGTGGAGGGGGAACACAATGACGGGGAGGAGGAGGAGTGAGAGGATGCCGTGGAGGAGGAGGAGCGAGAGGATGCTGTGGAGGAGGAGGAGGAGGCTGATGACGGCGAGGAGGAAGAAGAAAACGGGGAGGAGGAGGAAGACGGCGCTAGGGAGGAGAAGGAAGACGACGCTGGGGAGGAGGAAGAAGACAACATCATCGACGATGGTGCTCTCTCTCTCTCTCTCACACACACACAAACACACACACACACCAACTTACCTGCACAGCGATGACAACAACGACAACTCTTCAACTTGTTAGGGCCACAGCGATGGAGCACACGGCGGCGATGAAAATGATGAGGCGATGACGACCACATGTTACTTGGGGCGGGGGGTGAAGCAGGGTCGGGTGGAAAGGCGGGGCAGGGGGTAGATCGTCCCGCCACGAATTCGAAAGCCGTGTCAAGACCGTCTTTCCCCACCCTGCCTTACCGCCTCACCCCGCTTTGCTACCCACCTAACCCCCGGTCCACCTCCCAACCCCGACCGGGCCACAAAACAGCCCAGAAAATGTACACGCACATACGTATGCAATACATACGCGCACACATGCATACGTGTGCGCGTGTACCCGGGGGCAGCGTACGTGTACGCCCTGCTACCCAGCTTATTAGTCCAATTTCCTTTGCTTTCTTTTTTGGTCCCTTGTGGATGGCTCCAGCCCATTGGTGTACATATTTCCTTTGCTAATTTTTGGAATGTGGTGGAAAATTGGAAATCCCGTAGGGACCCAAATGGAAATATCACCTTTGTCCAAAGTTTTCAAAGAAACCTCATACCTCTCCCGGGTCCTTACCACGATGAAAACCTCTGGTACCATTTTTCCCACTTCTTTTGGGAGGAACTTTTGGACTATTGAGCTTAGACAGTTGTGAAACGACCTGTGTGCCTGTGAGGCCCTGCAACCTCAGCTCCGTTTTCACAGTCAATAAGCAAATTTGGACGTCCTCTACATCCAGACTCAAGAGTCATATTTGGGAAGCTCACCATATGAAAAAGAGCATGTACAGTGTCTTTTTTTGGGAAGCTCACCACGGTTAGAGCCCTGCAAATCTGCTGCAAAATAATGGCCCTGGTACTTTCATGCGTCTGGTTTTTCGTGAGGGACATGCTCCCCACGAATAGATTGATGCAATGTTTGGAAAAAAAGGAGCCTTGCAACTCGGCAGAAAGCCCCCAGATTCCAGGATCCTCTACCTCATGGACGGGCTCCATCTGACCACATTCATCTGTGAGGATAAGGCTCCTCGGCAGGCCTAAGGGGCCCCTGATGCATGTGTGCCCGCCCTAAGTGAAGGTGGGCCTAACAAATCACAAGAGGCCAATGCTGTCAATTCCGTATTTGGGGTTTCAGGCAGTTGTGTCACGTCAGTTGGTTGAGGGAACCCAGGACCTGAGCAGCAACAATTTTCCACGGCCTTCTAGGCTTTTCCTGAAGTGCAGGCCCTGGGCTACATTCACAGCAGTATACACAGACAGTTGGGCGGAGGAACTGAACGAGGCCCAGCAGCACCAGCAGAGGCCCAGCAACCTGGGGCCTACCGGAAGCTTCTGGGCGCAGGCCCAGCCCAACCAGGTCGAAGGCCAGGCAGACTCTTTCCATATAGGAAAGAGCTCGCTGCCCGAAGCCTCATTCAGGCACTTGCCAGTTTG